TTGAAAGAATACGAATGTTCGTCACTAATACGCACCGTAACAAAATAAGAAGAAACAACTGATAGTCGGCAAACGTATAATTCGCTCGAAACGACAGCGTGCAAATAACAACTTTGTATTTTTCTTACAGACGAAACTTCTTAGAAAAAACATCCAATGCGTATATGTATATATATATAATATATAAGTATATAATATATCTTTGATGATCGTAATAATTGTGTATATATTATATGCAACGTACATATATTATATATATATATATTAACAAATAAATTCTCTTAAATCTCATACGTTCACGATATGTATTCGATCATTAGAGATTACATCGGTGAAGCCTTAAATCGAAAGAATTAACCGTTATCTTACAAGTAAAAGTTGGGCGTATAAATGATATGTGTATGTTGTGTGACATCGACGCGGGCTTCTGTCCTCGGATCGAAGGAGAAAATTCCACGTAACTTTCAACTCGTTTTTTTCTCTCGAAAAATCAAGAAATTCGATGAAATATTTTATCAACAATTTGGATTATGCGAAGATTACACGCTTATGTATTTACAGAATAATGTGTATAGGTAATCATGGGTGTACTTTTGTTTATCTTTATGCAGAATCTTATAAAGGACCCCAAAATATTAGTATTTTCCCTGTTTTTTTGGTTTCGTTTTTATAATCCTTACCGGCGGTCTTATTATACCGATATATCGATAGGTATTTACCTGTCACTTTTGGGTATTCATGCTTGATTACTGTTTTCAGGATTCTTTGAGTTACATTTCTATAAAGATATACGCAGAAGTAAAAATGAGTACAGAATACTCCCTAGAATGTTGCTATTCACAGTCAACTATTAAATGTTAAAACCACCATTCTGTTTTCTGCACGCGATGTAGTTGTCTGTAATGAAAACTGAAATGATTTCTTGCTCCATATTGTTGTATGTTTCTGTGATCCACGTGTGCTTTACGGTTACCTTTATCAGTATTTATAATCTTTTGATGCATTGCGTTTAATCAAGGCAAACCATAAGTTACAAAACCGGAAAGATACTTTGCTTTTAGCGATGTTACAGATTTAGTATTGTATGCCTATTATGCAACAACTGATATAATACTGAATCCACAGAAGTTTCTGTTGCGTTTAACACTAGAACTACCAAACCAGTCAAAATGACTGTTCAGTACACTCTTATAACGGTGATTAAAATGTTATAACAGCACACTTTTTTTAGATCTTTTATAACTTTTATTATGATATGAAAGTAAAGAAATCGGTTAATTTATAAATTTGTCAATTTTCTAAAATTTGTTCTGTTTATTGACCGATAGAAATAGGTATACATTTGTTGTCGGTAGTTCTAGTGTTAAATACTAGAGCCCTTAAAAGTTACTGGAAATTCTCCTTCGATAACCAGAGGAATCGAGGTCGCGTCGCGTTGACGTGCCGTCAGCATGTTAACCTAATTTTCGATATGCAATATTATTCATAATATTAATACCTTAACCCTATCGTACTGCTTAATTATCGATCGAATTGTAAAACACTGTTTACTTTCCACGTGAATCCTCTTATAGCGCTACCGTTCCGTGAATATGTCCTCGTCGATAATATTTCGCGCGGTGTCTACAGTCTACGAAAGGTGTCCGATGATGTTTCAGACTCTTTCTCGAACGAACATTCACGGGAGGACAATTAACTGATTTCTACGATATGTATAGTTCTATATTCCGCCTGTGTAAACCGCCCTCGACGGTGTCGTCCTGGGGATTTGTTATTATACTTTCCTCGTTTCACGGAACTCATAAAGTTTCACTTACGGTCGAAAAATATCGCGGGTTTTCATGCGCTCTTAACACCTTGACTGCCGTGTCATTCAGGAATATGGACGACATTGTGTGGCCTGAAGTTAAAGCTTAACACTTATGGTAAAGTATTTAATGAATTAAATCTAGTCAATGTCTATGACGTTCGACAAACATTTGAATAATTATGATTCTGATGAACGTTTGCTTATAGACAAAGTTTCCTTGGCTATGGACAGAAGGATTTTACAAAGAAAATTAAACATTTCCGTAATTATAAATACAAAAGAACCTTCTATGGTATTAATTAAAAGGTAGGATTCATGTATGTTAAAGTGAAATGAAGAACGATTAGTGCGAGATTTTAGTTTTGTTTAGTGTTCTTCATACATTGAATTGAGTTTTTTAAACATTCAGGGCTAATTCTGTACACACGAATAATCGAGGAATTTCATAAAAAGTGTCGCATTTCATTTTGATATTAAATCTGGCGCACGATTATATTGCCATAGTATAGCTAATTTATATTATGTAAATCTAATCGTCAAATTTTCTTAATACCCGAGGCGAAAATTTCATCATATTCTATTGAAAATGTTTCTGTGACTTTATCGAATTTAAAGGTGCATTTAAGAAGAATTTATAAGGGTTAGTAAAGTATACCCTACAATATTCGTTTTGTTAAACAGAGGACTCCTAAAGTTTAACACATTCTTCTCCCAAGAAATGATGTTATTTTGTCATGTGTAAATAAATGAAGTTGAGGCTCCTTGATTTTTATTCTAAAGAATTTGCAAATTTAACTATTTATCTCTTGATTATATTAATTTTTTACCACTGTGTCAATTTGATCCATAAATTATGTTGGAAAAATGACGGACGAAGGTTAACCGTTTCAATGTTTCAAAGGAGATGGTCCAGCAGTCAAAGTGTTAAATATGCTTCGTACACATTTCGCAGCATGGAATACAAGCGTTCGTACGTCACAATCCGTGCTGTATCAACTATGCGAGTAGAACAACACGAAGCATCGTCCGAAATAAAAACGTCAGGTGATTGCGAAAGCGTAACTGCGACGTACACCGTTCGTTTCTGCCGATTAATCTCGCGGCGTTGCTGAAAGACGGCGTAATTCCATCACGCCTGTAACCGTCGCGGGTCTAGGGTGCAAACGGTATCACGAAACATACGCGACGATCCGTTTCAATGATCGCGTTCGCGCTCCTACCGGAATTGACAAGTGTCGGTTTCCTGTTGAGTACATTACGTTCCATCAGCAGTCGTTATCCCATCTCGACCGGGTCGGTCCTTTGTGGATCGAGTTGAAGCAACTGAATGATCTCAAGATATTAACCGGCGAAGTACTGCGGGGCTTAAAAGCTCCAACTGCCACCCCCCACCCCTGAGGATCGATTACACGACGAGTTCGAATCGACTGTGTTTTTTCGTTTACTGAAACGACGGATGAAAGGTAATCAAATGTTAAGTACGAAAACAATCAAACGGAACGTGTTTACGTGGAAATGTTATTAAATCGTTATTGCGTTGAAATTAATCGAAAATGGTAATGTACATAAAAATCGAAGGAATAGATTATATACCGATAAAATCGAACGTAACTGAAATTTTGTCAATTTCCGTAGTTTTCTCGATTAATCTTTTTTTCCCCGTAACTTTCAGCAACAGCGAACCATAAAAAAGACCACTGTCTAATTGCCCCTATTTCTGCTATCACGAAAGATTGTGGCGTACGAAGTGCAACATCAAAAGTGTCGACGATATCCGTCCTGAATGTTTCAGGAACGCGTTGATATGTATGAGACGAATGCCCGTCGATCAATAGAATGACAGCTAGAACGGACATTCGAATTCTCTATCGAGTATACTACGATTCTGGTCTCGTTGCAAGTTTAGTAGACATCCAGAAAACACTTGGCAACGATCTTGATATGTAACGTTCGGTGAAGAAGGCTCGTGTCTATTATTGATTGACCGTGGGAGCCTTCGTTTCACCCTGTCGTCGTACGTCACGATCGAGATTAATCTCTTTCCTCGTTTCACGTGGATTTCGAATTCGATTATCAATCCGATATGCTGTTGTAACTTTGTGGATCGAACACCTCGAATCGAAGATCGATAGATCAGACGCAACGATCGAGATACTTTCATTTATCACCGTGCTCTCAACTCGAATTGTCGTCGAAGCGAACAGATTTTTCGATTCTCATTAACGATCGAGCGTTTCAATGAGATATCTAGTGTGATCTATCGTGTGTTGTGAATTTAAAATTGCGGTAATAGTATTGTTTGCGCGTAAACAAAAGGAACTTGTTATTGTAATTATAAACTGAAGCATCCAAAGGGATAAAGAAAATAAATTTCATTTAACACGTCTGATATTTCCTTCTTCACATTGAACTTGTACACTTTCAATCGCTGTTACCATACGACTTTCGTTAAATCACTGTGGACACGTATTCTATAAACCATCATTATAAAACTCGTTTCCCGCATGCTACTCAATCTCAAACGTTCGAACACATAACCTTTCCGACTCGATGTAAAATCTACTTTCTATTCTTCCGAATACACACTCGTGTCTATCGACAACCATTATACTTTCAAAATTTCCCCGGGAAGGGCATCGAACACATCGAATAATGATGAGAAACATTAATTCCGTCACAAATACAAATTACCAATTCTTCGAATCGATGTACCAACTGATCAATCGATGCATCCGTGTATCGATCAATACACATCGATACACCGAACGGTACATCAATATGTACAGCTGTTCATTGATATATCGACACGGTTCACATATGCGTGTACAGATCCAGTAATCGACCAGCTCCCGATATCCCCGTTTCGCAGTCACGATCGCGCGATAAATCGTATCACGGGTTTTCCTGTTCAACCGACACACGTGCTCATCGGAATCGTGGACGTCGGTAAAGGAATTTTCGAAAAAAAAAAATAAACTGACAAATTAGACGATTCCGATCACTTCGATCATTTCGACGATCGTCGAGACAATTTCTTCGAGAGACCGATTCCCGCCCGGTGGAATCGTGCCGCGTCTCCGCGATCGTGGCACGATTACCGTCTAGGCTGATGGGGGCAAACAATGACACTCATCCGATAAGTAATGTTTTATAGGAACGAAAGGAAAACCGCCGTCGATAGCGTTCACGCGTTCGCAAACGAGGGGAAACGGATTCGATAACCGAGAGATGGCGCGTCGGTGGTCATGTGACCGGTGACAGTTAGACCACCGCGAGGAAAACCGTCAGCAGTTGGAGCATCGTGTCGACGTAGACGCGATTGTCAGCGGCCGACGAGGAGGTCCGACCAGCGTTCTTCCCCACGCAACCCATTCTTTCCAGAGGTATGTTTTGCAGCGCGTACTCCCGGTGTTCATCCGTCATCGTGCACACGGTCTGCTTGCTCAACATCTTCTCGTCGAATCTGTCGCGCAGATTCATCAACCAGGTGGCGTACCAGCGTAACTCGCAGTCACAGATCAACGGGTTGTCTGGGGAAGACAAAAGAAATGACAATACAAATGACTTCTAGATACTATTTTTACGAGATGCGTACGTACTGCCCTGGGTGCAGATAAATCTATCGATGTCCACATTTAAGGCTTTTACTTACGACCTCACTATACAGGGTGTTCCGAAATAGGTGTAAGTCCTTGAAAAAGGTGTTCCCTAGGGTGATTTGAAACAACTTTTTCCTTAGCGAAAAAGTTCTCCGAGGCTTTGTTAACGAGATATTAACGAAAAACCCTGACCAATCAGAGCGCGAGTCTGCCGGCTGAGCTCCTGCGGTAACGTTGGCTAGGCGCTACCGTGGAGGCTCAGTTGGCAGACTCGCGCTCTGATTGGTCAGGGTTTTTCGTTAATAACTCGTTAACAGAGCATCGGAGAACTTTTTCGGTAGGGTAAAAGTTGTTTTAAATCACCTCAGGGAACACCCTTTTCAAGGACTTACACTTATTTCGGAACAGTCTGCATAAATTCCAGAGCATATACGGCCTCTATCATATCGAATTTCAGGGTATTCGTTAAGTACTCTTCGACTCCACTTTTAAACATTTGAGTGCGTCTTCAAACTCTGACAGTTTGTTTAGAGTCACTATACGTAATAACATCGGATCATAGCTTGGTAGGTAGTTCTATAATTTATACAAGATTCATAGTATGTAAGCGTGAGTAGGAAGCTCTAATTAGGAGTGATTCCTCATATCCCTGATCGGCTGTAACTCGTGAATCTGAAATGCCCCACGTTTCTGAATAATTCACTTTTAAATAATTCAATAGATTGTATATCTTGTTTCGAGGATTGATTTCGTGACGTCAAACCGAAATTTGTGTCATTCGGGTATAGATGACCTGTCGATACATCGAAACAATTATAGGATAATGACAGTAGAACGCTCATATTTACCTGCGATATCGATCATTCGAAGTGTGTCGACGATATTCTCGGTGACTTCTTCCGATATTTGCGTCAGCTTGTTGTTCTGGAGAATCAACGCTTCCAGGGAGTTCAGGTTCTCGAAAGCCAACGGCGGCAGAACCTTTATCCTGGATGGACAGACAGAGAGAGAGAGAGAAAGAGAGAATGCATCTAGCGATGAAGGGGTAAATTAGAATGTTTCCGATATGTTTAATGAAATGAAGGGAATTACATGTTCTTCTGGAGATTCAGAAATGTAATTGAATCCCCGTATCCGGTGAAGGCGTCCTCCGGGAGCACGGTGATGTTATTGGCTCTTAAATCGAGGTGACGTAATCGATGTAGACGGCGTAACGCATCGCTCGGCACCGAATGCAAGTTATTATCTCCCAGCTTCAAATACTGCAGGTTCTCTGAAATCGAATGAAAATTAAACATGTATCGAATCGCGTCGATAACATTACAACGAGCGAATTGTTTACTAATTAATCACATGTGGCACAATGAAAATTAATTGCGGTGAAATGCCGATTCTATAAAAGGCTGATCTGGCCTCAATTGCATAATTGAACTAATTCCATTAGCGACACTTTTATAAGTTACAAGTTACGAGTTACTAGTACGAATAAATTCTGTTGCACAATAGCGACAAGTTTCTTAACAGGTTCATTAGATTCAACGACCAACAGCCGAGGAACTATTATTAAACAGTTCGATCGCAGTCATAGGCGTAATCATGGGGGGCAAGGGGGGGCAGGGGGCATTTGCCCCGCCTAGACGGAAAAAAGTGGATTTTGCTCCACCCTCCAAGAAAAAAATTAGATTCTGCCCCACCCCTCCCTTCCCAGTGTTACAAAATTTTTATCTAATATTTAATATTGCAGTATAATATGAAGCACGACCTACAGCCTCTATTAACAAAACGCATACATTTTCAACGATTTATGACTTTAAAATAAAGTGTGTCTGGCTACGTACAGCCTTTTTCACTGTGGCAGTCGATGTGTTAATATTTTTGTTCCCCCCCTGACTGGTAACCTGGCTACGCCCATGATCACAGTAAGAAATTATATTCAAGAAAAATAGCAAAAATTCTAATAGAATAACGTAACAATTTCCTCTTTAACCATGATCTGAGGGTAAATTAATAGGCTTCTTATCTATAAGCACTGAAACTAAAACCCTATTTATAGGCTATGGGCCAGTAAAATGTTAATAAAACAAGTAGAGTTCTACAAGTAAATTTTTCAAATCACAAGTCAGCTGATTGACATCTTACATGTTTTGAAGTTATGTTCACCTTGATAGAAATGAATTACTGGTAGCTAAGTGTGTTTTCTTTCATTAAGAATAGATAAGCGTGAAGATCGACGCAAAGTAAAGTTGCGTTTGCTTAAGAAAATTGAAGAGCACAAAAGTATATTAAAAAAAGAAGAGAGTAAAAAATGGAGAACATCAAAGAAGAAAATAATATTTTTTAAGGGAACAATTTTTTTCAAAAAATCAATTTTTGTACGCGCGCTTCGTGTACGATTCACTAATATGTCTAACCAGTATCCACTATTTCTACTTGCATGGAATACAGACGGTGATAATACGAGGACTGTTACTGTTTGTGTTATACATTTTTTTATTTTATCAATTTTCGTCTGTATTAGATTGTACTTTTTCAATATAATTTACGTTCAACTGTATGCACCTGTCAGAGCGCCAAACTAGTTTCTTTAAGCCATAGCTTCCCAAACTTTTTTGACTCACTGCCCCCTTTCAAAGTTTCTTCTGTTCACCGCCCCCTTCGGTTAAACAATCTCTATTATAAAAATTTCCAAGTGTAGTTGGGTGTGTAATTTTCGAATCTTAAAAAGTTAGATTGAAAATAAAGAACATAAAATAACTAGAACGTCCCTTCAGACCTTAGAAACTTAGCTAGATGACTGAGTCAACGAACAATTCATTTTTCAAAGTGCGAACTGCAAGTTGCGTCGATCCAAAGTCTAATAATTCGAGTTCGATTTAGTCCAAAACTTGTTGGGACCCCAAACGAGGACGACTTCATTACATTAGCATACAAAACTTCAACGAGAGGCGGAACAGTCGTGCGCGACCTAATAAACTTTCTGCAGAGTATTTTTGAAATTTGTTCGACCCCGTGACGTTCACGGAATAATGGTCGTACGAGAATGTTTCTTGTAATTTATGCGTTTGCAGCAATCTGTATACCTTTTTGAAAGTAGGGGACATATGGTTGAACTGAAGTTTAACAAAACAGAAATCGTTAATTTTTTTGTTACAAAAGAATCATGTAATTCCGTTTTACCATTGCTTTATAGTTTGATAATACAGACATATACTCCAGCGAATCTAAAGAATATGTCGGTAGGGAAATCTCGATAAGTCAGACAGTGTCATTTGTTCATGTTTGCAGTTTATGTTTAAATGTAAAATAGACATTGATTGGTGACACATTTTTTTCTAACGAAGAAATCTTTCTTCATCAATTATAAATATCTGATTTACACTATAAAAAGTGTTATTAGTTTGGAAATACTATGAGTAGAAAGAATTAAATACCACAAATTTGTTTCACATACTAATTCTACATACAACCACCTGCACATTGAAATTCAGTTTCCATAATGTTCAAACAGTTCTATACAATATTCATGTCCCTATAAATCCGAATAATTTCAGATTATGCTTATCGAGTCGATGTTCATGCAAAGTGCACTATGAAATTCTCAATTGTATTGTGAGTATTTAATGGACAGTCGGTTCGTATGAAGTGTTCAAAGCACATCATGCCGAAACGTGTATATATTTCAGCAAACCGTAAAAGCTATTGTATTAATCTTGTTTTCTATCAATTTGAAAAGTAATCAATTATTTTGTTTATTTAACTAAATCGGTCTTGCCGCATAAAGAATTTTAAATACAGTGAAATATTTATTACCTGAATGGTCTCTTTAAAAAAAATTCTCTTAACAACGTTAATAAAATAACTTTTATATTATTTTGTCGAAATATAAAAAATGCTTTTTAATATGAACCTTCGCCCTATTGTATAATCCTATACATATAAGCCTTACCCTTATAGAAATCGAAAAAATACCGGTATTTATTTCGGTTTTCGGTAATATATCCGTTTCGATATAGCTTTGATGCCATAATACCGGTATCAAAATCATACCGGTTTAAGTCCCTGGGTGAATGATCGAACGATCGATTTCCACGCAAAATTCGAGTTTTATTTAAACGAATTCATAAATTACTGTTTCGATCACGAGGGAAACAAAGTGACAAGAAACGTCGGCCAGGCATGACGACAGTGGCGTAAAGGAATTGTATCAGACCGTGATTAGACTTACCCTCGAGACCGATGAACGCGTCCGGATCCACGTGGGTAATCATATTTCCGTCCAGCTCCAGAGAGTTTAATTGCGTCAAGTGGGAGAACACACGGGCCGGTACCTCACGGAGCTGATTGTGCGCCAATACTAACGAATCCAGACTTTTCAGACCTGCAAAGGGAGATCGTTTACACGATCGAATAGTTTTGGCTCATTCGATTTCGATTCGTTTGATCGGATGCTGTCTGTCACATTTATTTTCGCGACGATCAATTCCACACGTCTAATAGTAACTGTTTCCTCTATTCCATTATCGAACGAATTTTCTGTATGAAATTTGTTTAAATTGTTATTTAGAAATAAATGAAATTCCGGAATAGAAAAACTGGTACAAAATAAAATGATGAGGCAAAGTGAAATATTGTTTTGTACATGATATTAGAAGGTCACTATCATTCTCATGAAACATTTCAAAATTTTAAACACAACACTATTATTTTCAGAATCACGTAAGTAATGTCTTATTTGCATAGACGTTATACTTTTAGATTATCATTCAGATTATGAAGGGTGTTAATAAAAATGCGGGACACTTTTACAGAGTGGATTCTAAATGCAAAGTTAAGATGAAAAGCAAGAATGATGAAATTGCGTACGAGGCTTCGATTAGAAAATAGAACAAATTTCACGCATTGGTGTCATTCATTCGATTTTCTTTCATTCATAAATTTAGCTAGGTCGTCGATCGATCTCGTATATCTGCTGAGAATCGATTGTTGTAAATAGTATAACACATCGAGTCAGACGTCTCTGTGAAAGTGTCGCACATTTTTATTAACACCCTGTATGAAAGTATGTTAAATTAACGTCATTTTATTATTTTACCATCGAAAGTTTCGTGTCAAAGTTTACAATGAATTCATTTTTTTTTTTAAATTCAGAACGGTCAGAGTCTATAAAAGAAAAGCATATAATATATTGTATCTTGTTGTGTGCACTTGTCAATTTTAAATACACTTAAATTAAAGATTTTTTTTCAATTACGTAACGTGAGAAATATATGCGTACCCTCGAAATCGCCTTCATGAATGGCGGCAATTCGATTCTCTTGTATCTCTAATTTTTTCAGCATATCCAGCGAGAGCAACGATTGCGTTGGCACCTTGGTCAACTCGTTTCCACCCAGATTTAGTCTCCTTAGTTTTCTGCTGTAATTTATATGCTTGATTTACATATTGCCGACAGGTATTCGCAGTTTGATGTACGATGAGCGACAAAAGTATTCGTAAATTTTGAATGTTACGGACAACATTAGTTTAACTTAATTTTGAATGTTGCCTGTTTCATTCAGTTTTAAATAACACATCAGATATTTTTTTGCATAATTCTTCTTGCAAATTTTTATTTACGGTTTTTATCTCTTATTCTTCCTAACAATCTAAAAATTTCGAATTTAAATATAAAAATTTGTAGATTATGAAAGGAACAAGCTGAAATAAGTAAATTTATATTTATTGTCCTCAACTTACTTGTGCAGTCCTTTAAAGGCGTCGGGTTCTATGGTGGAAATCTTGTTCTCGTAGAGAGAAAGAATTGTAAGAGTGTCGAGACCTTCGAAGGCTTTTTCGTGGATGGCGTTGATTTTATTGCGGTTCAGGTTCAGTAGAAGCAGATGATGAAGATCTCGCAACGCGACTGATGGCACCGAGAGCAAAGCATTCTGCGATAGATCAAGCTGCGTCAAGCCGGTTCCTGTGAAAAAAAAAAAACGAATGCCGCAAAGCTATTAAATTTTTTCAATTAATCCACTATGTAACATCAGCAATCTATACATAGATGATACAGGATGTCTCAGCTCTCTTGATCACGTCGAATAATGAGGTAACGGTACATTTGATGAAAATTTTGAGGCATGAAACTTAAATGACATCACGGGGCTCATCTTCTAAGGTACGTGCTTTTTTATGGGTGGAGCCATTTCAAAGATTTCAACGACTTATTTTTTGCACTATTGATCGATGAAGTATCAAATTCTGAGTAAAAATGTGTTGACCTTCATATGTCGTAAACGTAATAATTAACGCGTATTCGAATTTGATTTTCTAGATAATAAATCTTCGAAAAAAGTTCATTCTATATTTTCGATTTATGTTTGCTTGTCGAATGGTCTGAGGACGGTTTCGATTCCACGTTTAAACATGTTTACACATTTTGTTGCCATTATTGTGGACACATTCTGTATAATTTTTGTGAAATTGTTTAAATACAATACACTTCGTGATATTTTACATGAATAATTTATCGATACTATATTATCAATGACCAATGATTTTGATTAAATGTAAGATATTTTGTTATTTTGCTATTGCATCACATTTATACACCTGTCACGATATTTTTTGAGTGTCAATTATTTTAATATATTTTTATCATAATTTACCACTATTTTTCATTATGAACAATAATAAAAACATTGTTTAATCCCTATTGAAATAAATTTTAGAATACACAAGTAATTTTCAAATTGCAGGTGTCCCTTTTACAGAAAATAGTCATTAATTATATCAGTCAAAAGTTAATAATCAAGCAGGAGGACTTTATTGATCGATACTTGTGACGAGGGAACCGAACACGGACCCCCACTGACATCAAAAGTTCAATTGAATTAAGACGGACCCTCTTCAATACGTCATGAAGCACGAACTTCCATCGTCACCTCTTGTAGTATAACTGCGATTCACAATTGCGTTATCTGGATCACGAATTAATGCGACGGTGTCGTGTCGATTGACACCTGAAATAAAGATGAGCTTCTTCGTTCTGGAGTTTATTGATACGAGCCGGAATATAGTCATTATTCATACATTGGCAACCGCACGTATTGCAAAAAACATTTCAGTTATCTCTGTAAATTTCTATTAGAATACTCCTTAATTCAAAAGTTCGTAATGATTTCTCAATTCAAAGCTATTAAATCTGTTTGGTGTAGAAAAAAGTTCTAAACTTTCCAATCGAAAGGATAATCACCCTCTTTCATTTTAGGAATTTTCGATAAATGATCATTATTGAGAGGAAGCCTTTGCAAATATTTGTGCATTGAATCTTTTTCAAACATTCTGTATACCTTTTAGTAAAGTGAATCTAACATGTTGGGCAAATATATTCGGCGTCAAAATTAAAGGGTCACGGAATTTTCGCCCAAAAGCTGTCGATCTACAAACATTGTTCATTGACAAATTTCGTGATCCTGTAATATTTTGCGTCGAGAGTATTTATGAGCGACAACAGTGTATGGTCAAGTGGCGTGAATCACCCTCTAAGGGGCCACCTTGCAATCACCGAAACAAGTGATAACCGGACAGAGTCTGATCCGATGAATACACTGTCCGTATGTGGAATCAGTTCCCAGCCCAAGCTGAAGATCACGCCTTTTGTCGCTTGAACGACATACAAGTCGTGTGTTATCCCACGGCAGGTCTTTCATCCTCTAACTTAAAATAATCACCGGCCTTGAGAAATCAACGCACTGTTCTAAACAAGTGAATGTCAATACTGTAAACATATATCAAAGAGCAAAAAGGTGTTTCGATTTCAAGAATATTCTGTGGATACCGATTCATTCATATCATACATAGATGTGACATCGAAACGTGGACAAATGTTAGAATCACGTCCGATTCATCGCAATAATAACAAAAGTTAACATAGACGTTGTTCGAGACGACAAGCTCTCCATTCAGAAAGAAATTGTCGTGTACAGACTCCTCTCGATTATTGTCCCGAGCTCGGATCCGCGCGCCGGGACAATAATCGCACAGGGAGAAATGGTTCTGCACCTCGGCAACAAAAGCGGAGTCCCCCCCCTCTCCAGTGATGAGAATGGCGCCTGGACAATAATCGTGTAGAACAAGCCAGACAATAATCGAGAGGAGTCTGTAACGTGAAAACAGTTCTGGACCGCAAAAATTCCTGGCGATCAGTCGCCAACGATTGATGTAATTGGGAAATGTTAACACTAACCGTACCGACCGCCGGTCAAATGACCGGTTTTAAATAGAGTACAAATAGGTATATAAAAGTCTCGGTACGGTTAGTCTTAATAAAAAACGGAGAAACTCACCGATGGAGCTCAGGGAGGATTCTTCGAGGACTGCGAGGCTGCTGTTGTGGATGGCGAGGTGATGGATATCGAGACCGAGGAACACGTAACGTTGTAGTTTCGGCAAGCTGTTGTGTCTGAGTCTCAGGTAAAAGATGACCGTGTTGGCCCTCCCTTTCAGCGCGCTTATCGCCTTGACGATGTGGATCGAGTCCGTGTACTCGCATACGATGTCCAAGCCGGATGTCTTCACGGTGCAGGAACAGGGCGCGATAGCTTCGTGCGAAGGGCAGCGCTGCGATGTTTGTGCAGTGCTCAGGCCCAATACAAAACAAAGCATACAGATCACCGTCCATAAACCGTTTTCCTTCATCTTATTATCAACCGTCGTCCGTTCGGCTGTTTAGCTTCTTCCACGGATGGATCTTCTATATTTTCGAGTTCGACTGATTTGCGTCTTCTTCTTACTTTCTTTCTCTTTCCCCTCGCCTTATGCGGCTTTCTAGCTTGCTCTCTCTTTCTCTTTATCCTTTTGTTTTGGTCTCTTTTAGCCGGTTCTTTCCCACTGTTTCGCCCTCTTCGTCCCATACTAGTACGTATTTCATATATCGTTTGGAATTCAGTGGTACCATACCATAAGACAGGGATGGCAAATAAGTGGCTCGCGCACATATGCGAAACTCTCCTCCGCATTCAATCGAATTTTATAGAAAGCACGATCAGATATTGTACATTGTAATTATATTTCGTGAATTTTTTTATATATACTTATTTGTACAGGGTGTTTCTCACTAGCTTCCACCATAGACATCGAATAAGGTACTGAATATTAATTATCTATCAATTGTGATAAAATTGTTTAAATTACCTAAAAATTATTGAACTTTACAATGATTTGCAACGTGTAACAGGTTAATATTAACTTCACAGTGTTTTGAAGTCACATAAATTTGAAGAAGGAAACAGAGGTATTTATTAATTGTTGTGCACTTTTAGCTAGACCCAACAATTTCAATGTTACAGTTTCAGTCAGCTTGGAAATAATTTTAGCTCCTTCGCAAACTTCGATAACGAAACATACTTTAATAAGCGAATAAAAAGGTTGAAAGCGTGAAACAATTTTAAAGTTAATTTTGAAGTTTTGTCTTCTATAGTATTTCACATATTCCTTTATGCTATAAATGCGTAAAATCCGCGATCCAGTTATTATAATTTCTTTTATATCCCTCCAAGAATCATGGCGTAATGTTTTCTAATAATAACTTTTTATAGAAACATTTACGTCTATAAACTTCCAGGATTTTTTACTCGAGATTACGTTTCTCATCAAACAATATTTCGAACAATTCTCTCTTAGCTTCATAAAGAAATAAAAGTGAAATGATTTTCATATTGGCTACCATTAACTTTTTATTTGCAAGACAAAGAAGGTATATAGTAAAAATAATTTCTGATGCCTCGTTAAATATTCTTTCATCGTTATTTCCTTCTTGTCTGCAACAAAGCAGGTATTACAGTCCACCTAATTACGTGACTTACCCTACATTAGCGTGGGCACCATTATTATCGGGATAAGAAGGTTTGAATAACGAACACAAGATTAAAGAACAGTCAACCATTATTTGATAAACACAAGAATTTAAATTTCAGAATTAGTTAACATTTCATAGTGAAGGAGTTAAAACATAAAAAAAATACTTTTTAAAGAACGTATGCTAATCCAAAAAAAAATAATATTTGGCTATACTATTCCTGGTAAATAATATATAAAAAAATATTAATATAAACAAATATTTTCGTTTATGTACAAACTACAGACTGAGAAGGTGAAAAAATGTTTGAAGGATCTGTTCAATTATTTCCAGATATTGGAGGTGGTTCAACTGTTATTATTTCTTTTATATACAAACAATTCACAATATTTTCATCTTCTGTGATACTAGATACACTGTGTTTTATTGTCTTCATATTATTACATGAAGTTTAGTAAATAGAGAAAAATATTGACTATTCTTTTTAATGGACATAATCTTTACTTTTGTATTTTTTTTTAGTCAACCCTCCAAGTCTAATTCATTTATGCGTACGTACAATGGAACACCGATTATCCATATTAGTCACCTGCAATTTTTTGCAAATACACCTATAATTTTTTTACGCCTATCTGTTAGAGGATTTCAAGACGAATAAAGAGTAATCCCTACTGATCACGATTCGTGGTTCACCCTGCATACATAAATTTTTCAGCAAAAATGTCACCATTTTTATGGACAACTGTCGGCAGTCTAAAGATTCATCGGTCACGTTCCGCCATGTTTTGAGTAGGTCCTTATAAAATCTCAACAAGAAAATTTCGTCAACCTAACGTTCACTGTACGCGAAGAATAAAGGAATAAATCATACCGGTCCATGCGGGGCACGTGGTTGTATCCTCTATTTCTCGCGGAATATTCCCTGGATACGTGCGTAGCGAAACAACGTCGGGATCTAGCGTAATCGCTAGTCATCGCTTTTGATGTCACTGCGTATTAAAAAGATTCATTCGTTCGGTCGGATTAATTGGCCGATCGTGGCGGCACGGGGTCGTGTACGTTCAAACGCAGGGGAGCATAACGACACACTTCTTTCTTTTCCTGATGCGACACCAACGCCCGGGATCACACACCGGGAAGTAATTCTTCCGAATCCATGAAGCAAAAACACGATCAATTCAACGTGTTTCGTCACTCTCTCTGACTGCTGATCGTTTCACGATCCACTTTACCTGTAATCGGTCACTATTCTACTCCGATTCACTTGTCGGCAATTCTTCCGTAACGAGCCAAAAAATCACAAAATCACACCTTCCTCGAAACACCCGGCTACGACAATCACACCGAGACGGTTCGCGCGACGACGCGTTCCCCGATTATCGACAGGTAGCCAAGTAATCACTCGCCCCTGCTATCCACTGGTTCCAGCCGACGGATCTTCTGCCTTTCAGCGCATCTGTATCTTGGGCACGTACGCGTTAATCGGTCCGGTGCACGGGACGCATCGTCGATTTGCGAAGTTCTGGCTTCGAACAGGTTCCAACACCGCGGCTGACGCGATCGGAACGAACCGAAAACGGAATGAACACTAGGTACCAGGGTCAGTCAATTACGTCGCCGGTCCAGGGATTCGAACGGCGGCGAATTTCCGTTAGCTGATCCCGAGAAATCGTCGAGAGGGCAGGTTGCTCGATTGTGGTGGTGTCCAGAAAGGTTCGTCGTACAAGAACGAAGGAAAGAAATTCGTTAAACGGTCGATCACAGGTAAAAGAACGATGGTCCAATTGCTCTGACCCCGGAAGTTGGCTGGGTAGCTGACTAAGGATGGCTGCGGTTAGAGGATGGCGAACGACGTGGCGATAGGAGTTCTGGAGACGATCCGCTAGACCAGTCCAGTAAGCTATCGTCAGTGACGGTCTCTGCTCGGTACGCTGGGTGACCTGGGTGTCCGTTGGCATCATCATTGCCCGGCTAATGGGCAGCTTCCGTCAAGGGGATCATGGGATACACGACGACGGCCGCGGCAACGTGGTGGACGACGTCATCGGAAATCTTACGATACTCTGGGAGTGTGGAGCAGAGAGTACCTACACCGCGAGCACCGTTCATTGGTGCTCCTCTTTCAATCCGCCACCTCGAGCGGTCAAGGAACGACCGTCTGTCGCGCGCGGCAATTTCTTTGATGTTTCGTGCTCCGATAGTCACGACACGGTGTTAGAAATGCAATTGAATGATAATAGGGCGGGGCGAGGTAGGCTGAGATTGATACGGTAGAACCTTGATCATACGAATACCGTTTAGCCGAACTTTAGCCTAGGAACTCACTTTTGAAGTTTCTGAACGTTGCCGATTTCTTCGAAAGTTTTTGATATTTTCGTTGCATTTATATACCGTGGGATATCAAAAAGTTCGCGGATAATTTTAGTAAAACGCAAATTATGAATCAGAGGAGATTTATTATATGCCTCCACTAACGAAGATTATCTATATTTCTACCTCTCTAAATCTTGCATGTAGAAGCTAGCATTCTTTAAACTGAACCCATTTACAATAGCCTGTTTTACAGCTTTAGGTGATTGTCAATAGATTATCCTTAATTGCTTTTTTTATATTGGGAAAATAGGAAAAAGATTAAAGGAATCACATCGGAACTGTAAGGCAGTCACTCGTTTTCCAATCCAGTTTTGTTAAAAATTTGATATTTGCACGTATCCCGAAATTAAGAGTTTCTATTAATTAAGGAACAACTTTTCGTGAACCAGCGAAATTAAAGAGTATAAAATCGAGTACTAAAATGAAATTCTAGAATTCAAACAAGAACACTTCACTTTACTCCGAAAACTCGTCGTCTTCGCATTGTGACTTCGTCAAACAAAATGGCAGCGTCATTTCGCGAACTGTTTGATACTCCTACGTAATGTGCAGCAAGTTCTGTGGGAAGGTACTTACACCGAACCTTTGAGTATACTATCATTCGAATACATTAATCATTCGCTAATTAGGTCGTCGCAACATTTACAAAATTGCAAAATAATGTGGCTGTAATCATTATGGCTTTTTCTTATCCTACCCTCAGTTTTCGTTCTAATAACATAATAAAACCATATCTTTGTTTAGCTTTTCTTTTTATAAATTGGGCTATCAAAATTTGCATGGTTATCTCTAGTATATTTATGAGGTAGTAGCATTCTCTGGAAATATTTTATTTAAACTGGTGTGGTTGTAATAAGAATATATTATTATTATTATGCAAATTTATATCATTATTATAATCCATATCAACATCCATGTCTGTAACCTAGAGATAGACAATAAATTTTCTGATCATATCACAGTTTTCGAGTAACATGTTCGTTGTGACTTTGTAACTCTATACAAAATTTATTTCATATTTACAGTGAGTAGGCACTTTCGTTCCCATCGTACTTATTTTTTCATGAGTTTCACGTCTTCGCCAGAATGTCTACTTTTGAATCGCCTTAAAGGTAAATCCGTCGACGTTGTGAGCTACGTAGGTCGTAGCTTTTCGAAACTTTTAAATACGAGGGAGAATAAAATTCTGATTTCATGCATGTAAAGCAGCCAAATCGCCAGACGTTACGTCCCAGGAATGACAGATTTTATCTACGAAATCATTTTAACGGCCTTGGAAATGCATTTCACCCGAGGACAAGAAATTCAGCGACGAGATTGCGCGCCACGGAAACAGAAAATAAAGCCTGCCGTAAACTTTCGAATCGCTCGTTAACCCAATTTTATCTGGCTACAGCGGTATTTTACAACTATTAGACATTGTTCCGTGTAACAGGGTTCGATACTGTTTGGAGGAAATATTTTCGAACTGGTGATTTAAGGGTTGGTATATTATAATATAAATGCTGTCAAAAAACGTTTTTGCAGGATTCTTGTAAAAGCCTACCTATCATACATAGAATAAACAGTCTGG